CACACACACACACCCTACGGGCACCACATCTTTCCCCCACCTGCCCTAACTGTAAATAAGATGAGTCAGCAGTTTCTACGGCATAAAGCATTTGCTTTATTCTACACCACTTTAACATGAATGGTTACAGATACAACATTAGCTGAAGTCTGTAGCTAGTGAAAAACAACAGTTTAATACCTTTATCACTGATTTTAACTGCCTTGCGAGTCATGCTGTCAATTCTATGTAAACAATTTTTGCTCTATCTTGATCAACAGTTCCGGATGAAATTATCACCTTTGAAACTTTAGTCCACCTCTTCTTCTTTCTCGATCTTGATATAGTTATCCTTCGCTTCTGCCTGCTGCAGCTTTTTCGCCTCGATGCTCAGTATTCCATCCTTGGAGAGACGGGACTTGAAAGAGTCGCGATCAATATTCCTGGGTAAAGAAAACGCACGAACAAAGTGGCGAGTGGAAAAGCCTTCTTTGTTCCTTACTTCTTGCTTTCCTTCCACCACTAATTCTCCATCTTCTGAGCGAATAGTGATCTCCTCTGGCTTGAATTTGGACACATCAAACGAAACCTTGAAGCTGTCACGATCTTCCACAAGGTTCTCGGGAGATTTCCGTGCCTCCTTCACTCCATCTTTGCTGTCTTTTTTCGCCGTACCCCCTCCAGTTTCTGTGAATTCAATGTAAGTGTAACTTGTACCAAGTGCGGGCGTCCGATACCAAGGAGAGTGGAACGAATCCCATAATGATGGAAAGAATCGATCATGGCCTGACCAAAATTCAGGATTATGCCTGTAGATGAACATGTGCCAGAAAATTACTGAAAGAAATTCAGGGTAAATTCAAAACATTTCTCAATTTGTTGCAAAATTGGACAGAAAAGCTAAGCTTTTTTTCTTTTTTCGTGTTTTTTTTTTTTTTTTTTTTCAAAAAAAAAACATTGTACCTTGTATAGGAGGTCGTACACATTTAAATATGCGGGCAGTTCTCCACATTTTGAGCAGGCTTGTTCCACAGTATCTGGCACAGTATCGACTGAATTAAAAATTCTATGTAGAGGTGAATTTTAAAAATGCTATTACTGATTTCGCCACGCTTTTTAAATAAGAAACTCACCTAATTCGGTGCATGGCTGGCCAAAGCAGACGAAACTTTGGAAGCAAGGACATTTTGAAGCTTTTGGTGAACAGTATCCTCTCTGTGAAGTCTGATGCAACACAATCAAGACTGATTTTCTTGAAGCACGCTGTCAGATTTTTATACCCTCACGAGATAAACAAACTTCGCGGCATAATGAAATTTGCCAAATTTGGAAGTTTCACCGGAAGTGTCATCAGCAAACTACAAAACCCAGTAATGCTCGGTCATGCTGATGATGATGAAACGCGGCACGGTTCTTACGATCCTAGAAAATTCCTCAGCATTTAATTAAATACCCAGTCCCATCTTGCTCCTTTGCTTGAACTTTGTTGACTTTGTCATAAACTTCGTGTTTTCTCTGGGCAAGGAAATTTCTTTTCAGGTCGCCGGGATGGTCACGCAACGCTGATGTGGAGCGTCAGCGTTTCGTGACACGAGCAAAGAAAACAGCTGTAAATGTTTAATAAAGAAAGAGGGAAATCTTAACGACCTAGAGAGAAAAAGGAATACTTACTCGAGTTTACAGTTTACAGTGTTCGGTCTTGATTCAGAGGTGTAGCATCGCAATGACATGATGTCACATCCGGTTGAATATCCCATCATACACAATTCAATATCACGTGTCCGGAAGCATGATGTCTACGAAAAATATGGCGGGGGTTTGTTTCTTGCAAGGTATGAAGGTAAGGCATTTTAGCGTTTTTCTGTTTTTATTTGCCCTTATGTGGCTTTGTCTTATATTATCATAAGTGAGGTTTATTCCGTCAACTTGAAAAGTAACTTGCAGAAGTTAATGCAAGCGGAAGGAAGCGTTTTCAGGAGCCTCTGTTGAATTTTAGCACATGGCAATTTCACTGCAATTTGTATCACTTCATTAGGGCTTCAATACCACAGTCAGTACATAGTCTAAGCTACTAAATCCTTTGTTTGATTTTCATAACAACTTCTTGATAAAAGAAACTTTCCTTTATTACGTGCTTTTATTATGTTATTTTAAACTCCTAGTATAGTTCCACTGTTTAAGGAGTATACTTATTAAAGACTTTAAAGACTTCCTCTAGATGGTCAAACCAGACAGGTCAAATCACCCTCACAACTAGTCAATTTGCCTGGTGCCTGGCTCTTAATGAAACTAGTCTCCCTGTGAATTGTTGATGTTATCCTTCTAATCAAATTATTACAAATCTCTGAATGGAGGTGTAGTTTAGTATTAGTAATACTACTATATGATCCTACATGCCTAGCTCCCTGAGCAGGCAAGATTAACTAAATCCTGCACTGTGATTGGCTACCCCAGCAGGGACTAATAGATGGCACTATCTTGCCACTCCAGGCTACATGCAGTGTCTCACCAGAAAAATTTGTTCTTTATCCCATATAATAATGCCTTTCTTAATGGTGGTTTTTTTTTCTCTTTAGTTTACTTGTTACCTCTTAATGGTCTATATATTTTTTTCAATACAATTTGTATTTTCTTATTAGGAATATCCAGAAGAACTTTTATTCAAAGCCAGCAGGCAACAGGTTCTGATGTTTGCCAAGTGGACAACTGACCTAACTCAAATCAAGGTCTCCATGTTGCACTGTTAAAGGCCTTAACACTATCACGCTGATGGCTGGATGAGACAGTCTTAACACTTACAGGTTAAAGCATTTACCAGATTCATTAATTAGTGGTTCAACAGCTGTTCAGCATATTGCTTTAAGAGAAAACAGGTTCTCAGCAGTTTGTATGACAGGCAAATTATAGGTGCATGGCTGTTATTTATACTTTGTTTATCTCCCCAGCAGACACATCCAGCTGCATTCAGAAGAGAAGGTTATTGGTAATCAAAGCAAATTAATGGGTCAGGAACCTTTTGGGTAGCTGTTGCTATCTGCATGTTGAAAGCAAAGTTTTCCCTGTCGTATTGTTCTTCTGTTCATCTTACGACTGTGGCCTCTTGTTTCATATTTGCAGTTTTTCCAGTGCTTACAAAGCTTGAATGTATTTAAAACCTTTCCTATATTTACCAGATAGAAAACAGAGAAGCAGCAATAACTCTATGTACCAAGACTTATATGAAAACGATTCACTTTGAGACATTAGATCCCAGAGAAGGTGGATCATGATTTGTCTGTGTTTGGTTGGAGTGATTATTAATATTCCTTTATTGCTTACTTGCTAAATTAAATGAACAGGGAAGTGGTTGNCGTCGATTCCTTAACGTCTTGTTTTTCAGCGGCACATTTTCCGCCTTAAACCTTTTTGGCGCGGGTTTTGCCTTTGCCTTTGCCTTTGGCGTCTTTGCCTATTATATTACGTCGTCATCCTGAATTGAACTCCACTGAGCGAGATAAAAAATACATGTTGCAATGAGATGCTTTTCCCGGGAAATCTTGATCTGTTGTCAGAGACACTAGGAGGTTCTGTTGTTCCATTGGTTTGCGGTTTCATTAGGCGTGATAATCTCCGGGCGTGGCACGAGTTGTTTACAAAGCTTTACAACCTAAAATCTCGCATTTGATTTTTGGAGGAATACATCCACTTTGAGCAAATTTATAGGGTATGCAGATTTGACGGATTTTCGTCAAATTTCGCCAGAACATTCCAGAGATAATGGCAAACCAAAGTGTGTCGGGAAATTGTGATATTTAACACATTTTTCACATTTTTCACATTTTTGTCCAAAATTATTTTTTTTACACCAAATTCGAGACTTCTACTTTATCTGAATTTTCCAAAAAAAATATTTTAAAAACTTAAAACGAGAACGAGTTAATTATCCAGAAAAACGTAAATTTTTAAAACGAGTCAATCAACCGCAAACTGTGATGAGCCAATTAAAATGTGTCAACCCTTGAGTTGAGCAGGAACAATTTTCGCGGCAACTGATCTCATCCGCGGGGTCGCATTTCGCTTCTTTTGTTTATCCCTTACGTCTTGCAATTTCTCGCACAGAAATCTCTTTTGTTCATTGTTTTCGTCTCCTAAGTGATAGGCTAGGCGATTTTGCACGGTCTTCGTGTTCCCACATTTGAACGCAAGTGCAAATCGCAAGCGAATGTTTCGTCGATGCCCTGCTCTAGCTTCTTCTGGCACAGAAGTTGATTGCCTGTGACAAGGCAGCTTCTCCAAACGCTCCTTTCCTCTGCCTCGAAGAGTGTTTTTCCATATTCTAGTAAAACAAAAAGGCTGATGAATTACGCGTTTAGTTTTTGTTTCAAATGTGTAAATATCCGCACTCGACTCGGCTCGCCGAGTAGGCCTGTTCAAGGCAATTCTGCTATCATTCCTGTTTTTTTCCCTTTTCCTTCTTTACCATTTATCTGCTGATTCGGTTTATAAGCTGCCCGAATGTTTCACGCAAGACTTCGCTACTCTCGATGTAAAATATAAAGATATACTGTAAATATAAACATTGCACATTCATTCCCGGGAAGCGTTACTGTAGCCCGCGGGGGGACTTCAAAGCTGCGCTTCACTGGTTGGCGGCATGGCTACGTTGACAACCGCTTCATTGGGGTGCGAAAACTGTGAATTTCTTTCGAGACCGAAAACTCAAGGTCAAGGTTTATTTTTGCATGAATAGGCCATTTTGCTAATGTAAATATTTCCTAATTGCATTCCCTTGTGGGGTCAAGAAGTGATCACTCGGCCAAAAATGGCGTCATTAATTCATTAAATAGATCAAATTTGGCCCCCACAAGGATTGAATTAATAGGGTATGTAGATTTATCGGATTTTAACGTAACTTGGCTAAACTCGTCGTCAGATATTACTGCACCAAACTATGGGAGGCTTTTGCGAAAATCGAAATATTTTTCCTGTGACGTCCCTTGAGTAACAGCAGTCTGAAAATTTTCCATATTGTCCAACTTTAAAAGGGATTTCCTAAGCAACCAGTAGAAATATCGAACAAGCCTCACACACTTTGTTAGCCCTTCATCTCCTGAATGATAATGTCCTGTCAGTTTGGATGTCCGCGGTTTAAACACAAACGCTGGTAATTCATTCCTGACCAATCAAACATTAATTGAATACCGAGATCAGTTCCTGCGATGTCCAAGGACACCGTTTCGGCGAGCTCGAGAAGTTGTTTTGTGTATAGCGAAGAGACGTCCTGTACGATTAAAAAATACATGCGCCATCTGAAGCGGCAGGTCAGTGTTTCAATTTATCTGCTGAATAATCTCTGTGTTTTGTAAATAAATACGCCGGGTAACTTTGAAAATGTCTGTTTGTGCCCTTATTTCTGAGCCTGAAGTCTTTTGATCAACTTGACGTGCTCGTGTTTCTGTTGTTAGATCGCGGATTTCTTAACACCTCTCATGCGAAGAGTCGTCAAGGAATTGCGAAGAATCTAGGACCCCTGCCGGTTGAACCGTAGAACATCGGCAGGGGTCCATAATGTCAGATCCTCATGAAACTCGTCAGAAAACAAAATTTCAGAAAACAAAATGGTAATGTGCAGCTTTGCTTCGAAGTTGGATTCGTTTTCTCAAAGGACTGGTTAAGCCACGGCCGATAAAACCACTGCAAAGCCATCGGCAGAAATAATTTAATGTTCAAATACGCTCTACTGAGTGTAAATAATTACGCTTAAACTTGAACACTGCATGTCTGAAATTTTGGATGTCTATCTGCTTCTAAATGTAATTCTTGGCTTTATCTTGACGATAATCAATCTTAACAGGTTTCTTTAACATTTCTTTCATTCTTTCTTTCGTTAGGCATCAAAATTACCACTGTTTATAACGGACGATCCACTTTCCAAGTTGAGTCGGCTCATAGGGAGTTTGATTCTTGATCCGTTTGTGTTTATTTACCCTGGTTAGCGTTTTTTGCGCATATCTAGAATGAAGCGACATAATCGGAAATCATCAATTTAAGGATATCTATAATTCCACTAAACCAATAATGTGAATGGAATTTGCGCTCGCCTTTACGAAGTAATAACTGCTCCGGCCTTCGGGGATATAATTCATGGTCAGGGCCACTCATACAGTCTCCCTGCAGTTTGCTTCTATTTACTGCCATTTGCTTGCGGTTAGCATTTAAGGAGTGAAGGGGAAGGCGACTATATGTGGCCTACCATGAATTATATGCCCCTCAACTCAACTCTACCTTATAGATCTAGACGTAATGAAAAGTGACGTGAAGACAGCCGTTACATGCATATCCCCGTTTAACTTATTACTCGATGTCTTCACACTCTGGTCCAGCCAGTTCTATGCATCTGGGCGGATTTGTATGTGTTCACTTACATTATATTTGTGCGGTAAAAGTCTCTTACGGCAAACCTGAAATACCCTCGTAAGCGTCATTATTTAGCGTGTTTGGAATTCGGTTATTGCTTACCAGCTCAATTTACCATTGAAGGTGCAGAAGTGTAGCTGAACTCGGCTGGCTCAAAAACTCTCTGCTTGAAGACTGCATAAGATTTTCATGAATCACTCTGTATCGTCTGTGACTTGCGACATAGTATTGATTGAAGGTGGCTCAACAGTTTCCAGCACTTTCCAATGCTGTGGTTTTGATAGGTCATTATAACCACTCTTCACCAGTTGATGCTACAATCATGGAAAAAAGAAAAATTCTGCCCAATCATTGGTGAACACGTTGCTGTCATTTTCGTGATACAATAGGTCACCATAGCAATAGTCTGACCTTCTAAAAGCACCCTAAATTTGGCTTTACGTTAATATATTTTATGTACAACACGGTGAAACCCATTTTTAACCCGTGGATTGCGCAAGCAAAGTACATGCTGTAGTTAAGGATCATATTTTGCAAATTTGAAGGTTGTTCGTTCATATGTTAAACTTCCCATTGCAAATCCACTGTTTCGAGGGTGCATATATCGTTTGTCATCTCTAGGATAACGTGGTACCTAACTGCGAGTGTTACACTTAGTATGGAACTGTTAGTTCAAATAACTCAAATGAAATGGTTCTTAAAACTTCTGGTTAATTTGTTGATCAGGGAAAGTGAATAGCAACTTGTAACTGTTGTTAGTTCGAATCACTCAGATTGATTGTGCGTTAAAATTTACGGCTCATTTGTCGGCTGCGCAAAGTGTTTATCTCAATCACTCAGGTGTACGTCAAGTAACGGTGACGTAAATGCTGCGAAAGGTTCGGATTCAAGTCACCGAAAGGTAGGCTATCTGCCCACGTTGTGTTACTGCGTGGTCAAACAGTTTTTAAATAACTCTTTTGCTGTGGGTAGGGAGTCCGGAGAAAAGACCTTTGTGAAAGTTTACTGTAATTTTTCCTCTACAAAAGCTAATTTTTTTATGAAAATAGTAATTTCATCAGTTACGCAAAGGTTGGCTCATATCGATCATAATTCACTGCGAGAGCTGTATAATACAAGATAGGAGATTTTTCCCTTCTGTGCTAGCATTTGACTCGTATATGTCGTTTGACATCTCCAGGACAGCGTATTTCGTAACTGTGAGTGTTGCGCTAAAAATGGAAGTGTTAGTTCAAATAACTCAAATATAAAATCCAGTTATCTGACATTGCCGATTTTCAGTTGCGTTTTCCAATAATTGAGTTTTCAAATACAGGTGGGCTTCATAGAAAATACAAAGTAACCGGTGTTCACGTTCTGTCTGTCACTGCCATAATTCTAAACAGATCTAGAAAACGACGCAAGAAAACAAGTTCATTCAACTGGAAAAGGCGGGAATCGAATTGTGACGTCATTGAACGATATGACAAACCGGTGACATACGAAAGATACGCCACTCGGATCCCGGATGAAGTGACGTATGGAATCTACGAGTGGTTTAGTTCCTAGTAGAACACACTCTAGTCCATATAAAAAGGCTCGGATATTTGTTCGCGGACATAATCTGTTCTGAGAAGCGAACAGTTTTCCCAGGGCGAACGTCGAGGAAAGCTGTGAGCTTCGAGGAACAGATAATGTCCAATTAAGGGCAAAAATATCGAGCATGTTTTTTAAGTCTAATGGAGGCTATTGTGTTTCTTATCCTTCAAATATGTTTCGCAACACCCGGGATCTTTTGAAGACCTTTGAAGATTGGGCAATAATACACGGATCCCCCCCAGTTTTAGCTGAGGATTTTCAGTCACGTGACGCGTTTGGACCAATTGGGTACGAGCGAAACATATTTGAAGTATTATAATTGCTAGAATTCCGACTAGCAAACCAAAACCGGTCACTCTAGCAACCCAGGCCGTTGATTCTCTGCTCTTGCTTCTTTTTCCACTTTGGAAATTGCACATCCATTATCAAGTTTGACATAGAATAGGTGGTAAATCTGTTTTGCCGCCAAACATGTACCCACGGAGGCTGCAGATCGGGATGATCATCTTACCTGACGAATTTTAAAAGTGACGGTTGGCGCAGCATTGTGGTGTACTATGACGTCGATATTCCTTAACTGATAGCGGAGATCTAAGTTCTGAAAATGTACTGAGAAATGGAAAATGGGTTGACATTTTAAATGATCGCTGAGAAAATCCCGAAAACTTAATCGATACCTGAGATTCCGGTAGGGCTTGCCACAAGTTGCTCGGCAACTTTTTGCATTCTGAGCAATTTCTAGTTTTCTAGATATCGGAGCAGCTTTTAGGGCTTTAATTGGCCATGCTTCCATATTTTACAATATTTCAGTTGACAATTTGAGAATTTCCTGTGAAAAAAGAGCAGTTCCTCCCCCTGGGGCAGATCATGGGCGAAAGATGTATGCAGCCGGGCTGCTAGGTCAGCGGTTTTTTCAAAGAAAATCCAAAATGGCGAACGAAGATTCACGCTCCACTGATTCGAGTGTTTCAGGTTACGAAGGTCGTAAATTCAGATCCTTTGAGGGTAGCCGCAGAAGCAGGGGCAAGACTGATTACTCCAGCGAAAATGAAAATGGTTAGAAGTCTTCACCGTGAACAGCAACGACAATTTTATTGGCTCATAATAGAATTTTTACAAGATTAATATTTTTATATTGATATTGATGTGTAGTATTTACTCATACGCATTGTGAACAAATTTATTCAGGACGCTGGTCACAACGCAAAATTGCACAAAAATGCTCAGAAATTTTACTTTTGTTGTACAGATTGCATATTTTTGCATCAGACCAAATAAAAGAAGAGAGATACAAAAAAAACGTTTTGCTTTTTGTAGCAACTTTTGAGCAACTTTTGTTACAAAAAGCAACTTTTGACTTTTTTCGAAGCAACTTTTGAGCAACTTTTTGAGAAATTTTGGGCGACGTTTTGGGAAATCTCGAGCAACTTGTGGCAAGCCCTAGATTCCGGCACCCCTATTCAGACTCTATTAACACCTGGGAGCTGTTTCTCGAAGGTCCCGAAAAGCTTTCACACCCGGAAAGCTATAGTAAAATCTCAAACTTTATGATTACAGAGCTGTTTTATTCACATATTCTTAATAGGAACAGAGGTTCCCTTCATCTGAGAAGTTTCAGGCGTATACTCCTCTCTGTTTTTAGATACAGGATAACTAAAAATGGCTTTGTGTGCCTGAAAGGTTCCCGACGCTTTCGAGAAACGGGCCCTGTGCTGCAGCAACATGTCGTACAAAAGTGATCCCCGGGGGTGAGGTACACTGTAAATCTTTGCGTAGGGGTGTGCCGCTTGGACACATCAGCTTGATTTTGCAACCCTACTACAGACTAGGCACCAAAAACTCCTACCCTATCTCTGACTAGTTATTTCAATGCAGAAACTTTATCACTATCATTATCCAACATACGCTAACTAACATGTAGCGGGAACCAATATCTTACTAAGTCACTTCCGAGTTTCAATTTCTATATATTTTAGAACCCCGGATAACGAACCCCGTTTTAGACTTAACTATCGTAATTAACTATCCTAATTAACTTAGTGTTAGCTTGGTGATATCCTCTGTAAATATTGTTTATTATCATTATTATTATTATTATTATTATTAATTTTTTTTATTATCATTATTATTATTATCGTCTACACTGACCACTTTTCCGGTAAATTATACTCTATTCTAAACCAAAACTGACTGATTTCTTTACCTTATCCTCCCTATCCTAGAGTTAATTTCCTGAAAACTATACCCTTCACAGCGGCACACACCCATAAAGTATATATATGGTTTGCCCCNTTGATTTTTTTAAAATGCATTCTTTGTCTTGTCTGCAAATAAGAATACTAACATATTTTGCCTTGGGGATGTAACTTTCCGAAGAAAAATCTATCTTAAGAAGATGTCAACTAAGTTTGGGTAGCGCTGTATAAGGTAAAGGTAAAGGTAAAATCTTTATTTAGACACGGTATTTCCTTCAGGACGTAACAATATTGAATTAAATTAGTGTAACTATTTAACTAATAAATCACTAACATGGGCTCCTGATCACTAATAACTACTACAATAAAAGAAATGATAAAAAACCTGCTTTACAAGGAAGCCGTGTATAAAAGCAAAATAATACTTACATAAGACTACCATCAAAATCATAATTCTTCAACTTAGATTTAAATTCATCAAGAGAGGGTGACTGACGAATATCCAAGGGCAAACTATTCCAGAGTACAGCTCCGCTGTAGGACAGACTTCTTTTACAATAATTAGTGCAGGGCTGTGGAATGGCAAGCGAACAGTCACTATCTCTTAAGTTATAGGTTAAATTATCGGAACGGAAGACAAAGTGCGAACTAAGATAGTCCGGAACCATATTATTTGCAATCTTATACATCATCATTGATTTATCAACAAGGCGTCGACTGTCCAGTTTAACCCAGTTTACCATTCGCAACAATTCATCAATACTACGATCGTAATTTGATCACTTTGGAGTGACCTTTATTGACTGTGTAAGTAGGCTCTATTTCCAGCCGCCCGTGGGGGGGACGGGGGGAGGGGAACGTAGACCGGACTCGAGAAAGCAGCGGAAATCGAACCTACTGTGTAAGAGTGATACTTCAAAACAGTTTCTTGCGATAACTATTTCGCAACGACGTCACTAGGAGATGTGTCCAACTAACCAAACGTTTGCCTTCTCTTGTACCGTGATGTCTGTTCGTTATACACTGGGGACAAATGTTGTGTTTTCAGGATGTAGAGCTGCCTCAGTGCTCACGATGTTTGAAGGAAAAACAATATTGCTCAGTCAGACTAAACAATGCAAACTGTTTTGAGAAAAGCCATGTACCAGAATGCATTTGATTTCTAATCAAATTGAGATCTATTTAGCTCTAAATATACCCCGGGGGGGGGGTACCCTACAAAGCTCTCCCCGAGGTCCAACCTCTTATCCTTTTGAATACCATTTTGTCAGAAAAGGTGTTCCTTTCGTATACTTTTAATTGAAAAAAATACCCCTTTCGCATACTTTCATAACTGGCTCGTATTATGAATAAATCGCCAAAAAAAGGAAGTCTCGTTTTCATTTTTATGTAGTGTCAAATAAATGAAATGATACAGCCATAAGGTGCGTCTGTTCGAAATATTTTTAAAAATAACTATTAAGAAAATAACAGATTTCCCTGCCCTTTCATCTCCTTCAAATCTCTATATACCTGAATTCTGAAAAAGGTACCCCTTTCTGGCAGAGCCTCCCCGTATAGGCCATTATAGGAAGTACACCCCACCCCCGGGAAATACACACGAACGACGTACAATTAGTTTGCAATAATAACAATCTTCACTCTCGAATGTACGAGCATTTGATTATGCCGTTTATTTTCGATTGATTTTGTCCGATGTTCGGGCACTGGAGAAAAAACATTGCTTTTGGGTTGCCTTCGTTATTTTACTTTTCGTCAGGAAGACATAATCGATTTCGTGTGGACGGTCTGCTATAATTAATAACAGCACGTGTGGAAACAGCCAATCGCGTGACAGTTTCGATAGACACCCGGAAGATATTCTGATTCCCGTCCCTAAACAGGCGGCCCTAAAATTCTTGCCTGTTTTCGGGCAACATTGAATCGTCAATGAAGAGGTAAAAGTATTTCTTGAGCCTTTTGTCTTGGAGCATATCCATTAAAAAGACCGCATTCAGGCAGCTTTGATTTTATGAAGAAACTCAAGTACCCTGTAGCACACACATCCGGTTGAGTATCCCATCATACACCAGAAGCACAATCTTAGATCACGTGCCCAGAAGCAAGATGTCTTCGAAAATATGGCGGGGAAAGGTAAGACATTTTGGCGTTTTTCTGTTATTTGGCTTGTTCTTATACTATCATAGAAAAAATTTATTCCTTCAAATTGAAAAGTAACTTGCAGACGTTAATGTCAGTGGAAGAAAGCTTTTTTAAAAGGTGAATGTGAGCATATAGCAATAACATTATCGTTTCGTTAGGGCAAATTGAAGCAGTACATGGTCTAAACTACTGGTTTGGTTTTCATGACAAATAGTGTGCAAGAGCAAATAGCTGTGCATATTTTTGAACCCAGTTGGAAGCTAAATTGCGGGGCTTTCATATAAACGGATTCAGCCGGAGGGCAACTGGTTTCCACAGGTGGGCAAACCTTTTTGAACTGAACTTCTTTATAGGAAAAACTTTCCTCTAGATGGTCAAACCTAGACTGTGAGTAGTCCCTCTTTAGCTTAGTCTGTCGTGTGTGACGTGAAAGGAATCGTGGTTTTTTTTGTGTGTGTCGCGCATGACGGACTAAGCGAAAGAGCGACTACTCGTAGTCTAGGTCAAACCAGGTAGGCAAAATCATCCTTACATCCGGTCAATTTGCCCAGTGCCTGGCCCTTGATGTTATCCTTTAATTAAATTATTACAAATCCCTGAATGCAGTTCTTATGAACCATTTTAATGTTATTATAATTTTTATGGCTAGTTCCCTGAGCAAGCAAGATTAACCCATTGACTCCTGTGCTGGCCGTAACCAGCTGTGATGAGCCTTGGCCTTTCTTCCACTTCTGACATCATCACCTTTTACTAAAATTGGCCTCATTTATGCTCAACTTCCACAGGAGGAAAAGATCTTTCCAATGATACCCAGATCAGAGTGATCGGCCCAATGGAGCCTGAGATATGCACAAAAATGCTCAAAAAGTTGGGTGAAAAACTCAGAGCAAAATTTCCTGCCACTACACGTGGCTGCTCCATGACAAAAATTGCCCATCTTGATGATGCTTTCTCAGAATGTTTTAGACTGGTAGCAAGCCCAGTAGAAGGTCAATTACTGCAGCAGAAAGAAAAGAAAAGGTGAAAAAGGAAAGGCAAAAAAAAATAAATAAAAATCTCAAAATTTTGATTTCTGAACCTGCCCGAGCAAAAATGTCATAAAACCCGATGCTAGTGGAAAGAGAGGCATGCTGGCATGTTGCAAACGCCCTTTTGAGTAGAGAGCTAATTTGGCCCATATCCAGCCTGAAAATCTCAAAATGTCCAAAAACTGAGTTTTTGACAAAAAGCTCCAGGAGTCAATGGGTTAACCAAATCCTATGTTGTGATTGGTTACCCCAGCAGGCAATTTGGCACTATCTAGCCACACATGGTTATGTGCTGTGTCCCACAGGAAAAAAATTGTTTTTTATCCCATATTCCTTTATAACTATTGACCAAGCTTGTTTGGTCAAGATGGCTGAATTTTGGCCTTGTTCTTTTTTGCATCTTTATTGACCTTAACTCTGGTTTGGTCCATAAACATGCAAAGAAAGAACTTGGCCAATATCCAGCCATCTTGACCTCACGCTTGGTCAATAACCCATAATTATGTATTTGGACTGAGTGAAGCACAATTCAGGGTATAAGTGGGTGAGTAATTTCAAATTGAATGAGTGTGCAGAATAAGGCTGGTTACTAAAAATCCCATCAATAACAAATTTCAAGATTAAAAAAGTCTTTAAAAAACTTCTTTTGGTAAAATCCTCAGAAGTGTTTTCTATGAGTTTTTAACACTGTAGGAAACGTTAAAAAGAAAGCCAGTAAAGTGTAATTAAATGATATGTGAATGGTGTGGGTACCCGATAAAAGGTGACCAATTACCAAATTTAGTTGTGACTGGATACCTGCAGTTGGACACCCAAGTGACTGAATGGTGTGTGATGAATTTTGTTATACATTGTAGATAGGATTATCAAAATAATTTACAGATTCTTATTGATCAGTGACACATTAAATGCACACTCAGGGTGCAGAGTACAAAACTGTGTAATTGTAGAGCACATAACATGAAAGTTTGTATAGTCACTCAGACTTAAATTATAAATGTAGAATGAATGTAATGTAGTTACTTACATTAAATGCAAACTCAGAGTGCAGAGTACAAAACTGTAATTGTAAAACAACATGAAAGTTTGTATACTGAGTCGCTCAGACTTAAATTATAAATGTAGAATGAATGTAATGTAGCTACTTTAAGAGTTGCCTCATACATGTTATCGTATAATTGTTTGTTCCCAGAGAATGAAACACATCAAACTGAAAGGAGCCTAGATTTTCAAGACAGGACACATGATTATATCAACATCATTGGAAACTAAGGCTGTTACAGTGATGTAGGTAAGTGATGACAGTTTTGAACTAATACATGTTTTATCTTCAAAAGAAAGTTAACCACAAAAAAGACCTGAGTCATTGAAATGTCCCCTTTGCAACACTGAGTGACTAGTAGAACACATGGATCATGTGTACAGCTAAAGGCATCCGCAGTCGAGTGTCAACCAATACTTTTGATTGATACTTGATCGACATCCCAATCAATACTCAGGCGACACTCGATTGACACTTGATCAACAGTCGGTTGATAGTCAGCCAAGTGTTGACTGACTCATATGAATTGATCAAAAATTAGTCAACTCTCAACTGACTGTCGACCGAGATAAACAATGGAGTGTTGATTGAGTGTCAACTGGCCACTTAATAGGGATTTGTTTACCTTGAATATTTTCACCATCGGGTCTTAGTGAACATGGAGTCACTTTAAGACAATCATGTGTGTTTGAATGTTTTTATCACTTGTCACCTTCTATTTCCAACTCTTATCTACCATTGCATTTTCCAAAACAAAGTGAATTTACGTGTATTTAATTTTGGGTGGCCATTTAATAGGGGTAAAGACACTAGAAAAACCCTTATCAGGATGACCAAAAGGTGGCTGCAACCACTTCATAGAGGTGGCCAGTTAATAGGGGTTTTATTTACATTATTTTGCTGACAATAATTTCGGGACCTTGTTAACTGGCTGCTTAACGTAGGTGGCTGCTTAATAGAGGTTCGACTGTAGTCACCAATGTAACCGCAAAATATTATTTGCAATTGCCAAAATTGAGACTAAAATTGGAAAGGGGGCTTCCATTCTGTACATGCTGCTGAAGTTGTCAATATTTTTATGCTGTTAGTTAAAGTGTATATAACAGACACATTTTTTATTTGCTTTATGGAATCTACATAAGATCATCAGTAATGTGGAAATGAAAAAAGGGTATAATTTTTCCTTATTACATTTTAGCCATCTGAAAAAGTGACATTTCAATTCTGGTTAAATCAGAAACCACAGAGGGTAGAGACCTGGGACTGACCAAGCCACAATGTCAAAGCAAGAATATAGGTTGACATATCCTTCTAAACCGAAATTGGAACTTACAGGAGTGTCCAACACCTACGTGTAGTATATTCACTTTTGTTAAAATCATTTCTTTCTGTTTGGCTCTAAAAATATGTCAACCTACATTCTTATTGTGACGTAGCAGTCTTACTAGTCACACTTCTTCAACTCTCACAGTTTCTGACCCAACTGAAAGGGAACTTTCACAATCTCAGACACCTGTAGCACAGTCAAGTACCAGTGATATCCTTTTATCGATTTCCATATCACGATCTCAGGCAGATCCCATCTAGCAAATAGCTAGTTCCAGGCACTCAGTCAGTGGGGACGACCGGAAGAGCAAGTGGGCAACGAGGTGGGATCCAGGAAGGAAAGGGCAGGGGAGCCTGGAAGCATTGTTTTAAAAACTTCATTCCACCCACTTGAAGAAAGAAGCTGTTTCTTGTGTCATATGTCAAAATTGTAGTATATTCGGTATCAAGTTTCTCACACAAGTTTCAAGGGGCCATGCTGATCTTCACAGCGTGTTGTGTTCTTCTGCAATCGTTCATGTCTGCCGTGTCTAGACTCTCTTGGAGTGTGGAAGTCTCTGTGTAGGTGTAGAGAGAAGTAAATACCAGCAAATGATTAAATCCATGTGAGTTTGAGTAACTTTCAACTCCTTGAAATCATGCACACATAATAAATTATGCTCACCATTTCAAGCATCACTTTGCTTCTGACAAACAGACAAGGTGTGGATGTACATGTAAACTGTCAAAAGTAACCAATCACAGGGTATACCAGAGCTGGTATACCGTAATGAGCTGGTATACTGGAATGAGGTTTTTAAACAGTGCTTACAGGTTCTCCTGACCTCCGCTTTTGTCTCCCAGGCCCTGCTCGTCACCCACCCGCTTTTTCAATCATCCCCATTGACTGAGAGCCCAGAACAGGCTATCTAGCAAATAAAGAGAATATCTATAGTATAATAAACATATTTTAAATTACTAGCACCTTGGAAACTCTGGAAATAAGTCAAGGATTTTTTTTGTTTTTCAATACAACATTGTATTTTCTCATAGGAATATCCAGATTGAATAACTTTTAGTTATTGACACTATCCTGAGAATGGTCTCATCTTAAAACCAGCAGGCAACAGGTTCTTATGTTTGCCAAGTGAGCAACTGACCAGACTCAAATCATGGTCTGTATATTTCACTGTTAAAAGCCTCATGCTGATTGGTTGGATGAGACAGGAATGAGACAGTCTTAATACTAGCAGGTTAGTGCATTTACCAGATTCATGATGATTCCAATGGTCAGCATATTGCTTTAAGTACAGGGCTGTCAAGTTTTGAAGTACACGTTACAAATTCAAACACCAAAGGCGGGAGCCTCCCAGGTAGTCTGGGGGCACACCCTCAGAAAATTATGATGTTTGGATGCTTGGAAATGCTAGTTTCAATGTTTTCCAGTCAGTATTTGGGCCTCAGAGCAATCAAACCTTGAATGACTATATTTACTGGGTTCTATGTTTAACAACCATTTTTTTACTCAAAATCTCAATGGTCTCAATCAGAAAATCTTTCCTATTTATAGTTGTTACAACAGTGCAGACACAGAACCAATGATGCTCTGCTGACTTGGCTGAGAGGGCAAAATGAACTGACAGTAATGACTGCTGTGGTGTTTTGATGATTACTGGTACATGTACATTGTATATGATCCCAATAACTGGTTTAAGTCGACTTCCGACTCCTGACCACAACATTATTATTTCTTTGTTGTGGATGCCATCTTGGCACATGTGGAAGCCTGGGAGCTAGTTCTGTGAAAATGTCGCAGCTGTTTCATGACCCTTCAATCTCCTCCTGCTATACTGCTTCCATTGCATATGGGAAAGGTTAACAGTCATTTAAAACCCTTTGAAATACATCTTTATTTTAAGTTTCTTGTCAAAATAAATGGTATATGTAAAGTGAGACGGAAGTAGATGGCGAAGGATTGGCCAGTAGCTGGCTGTTTCGGCTGGCAGCCGGCCCTTAATGGCAGCCCATAGTAGAAAAAGGTTCCCAGCAGGTTTTATGACAGGCAAACTCTATTTACATGACTGTTACATGTATATTAGCCTTATTTATCTTCCTAGCATAATCACATCCTGCATTGCAGTCATCAAGATGATTAACATAAATTGATGGGGGAACCTTTTGGGTAGTTGTTGCTATCTGCATGCTATAAACAAAGTTTGCCCTGTCCTGTTGTACCATTCATCATAAGATTGGAGCCTCTTGTTTCATAAACTATTTGCAGTTTTTCCAGTGCTCACAGGGCTTGAATGCTTTTAACACCTGTCCTATTTCTTACCAGGTAAGAAAACAGACTGAAGCAGCGAGAAAGTCTACATGTATGTGCTGAGACATTAGATCCCATATAGATCTTATATAATTATGAGGTGAGTCATGATCTCTCTATGTACTGTATGATTGGAGTTGTTAGTTATTAAATTACTTTTGCTACCTGTACCAGGAATAATAACACAATGCAGGCAAAAATGAAATGAACAGGGAAGTGCTTGTTTCATTGTTCACCTATATCAAGAACCTTTGTTACATTTTATGTGATGAGGTAACCTAGCCATGCCTCAGGGGTGCCATTGTTCATGAGGGAAGGAGAGACCAAATTCTTTCCACTGTACATGTATGTACACTGTATCAGTAATTCCTTAACCATCTAGCTTCATGCTACTTAGTTTTAATTTTGTTTCCTTTGGAAATTGGAGAGACAGTGTCAGTGGTCTAATGGTTACTACACTGAACTGTACATCAGCCTTTGGTTTGTTCTCAGGCAAGACACTTTAATCTCACAGTGCCCCTCACCACCCAGGTGTGCAATTAATTGGTAATTTAAAGTGGCTGAACACAGTTTTTGATACCTGTGTTTCACTCACCTTTTTCTCAAAAACCCTGGATCCTTTGGTCGCCAAACATAGCAACAAGCAAGTTAACACAAACTTTGGCTTTTTGATAGTAAAGCTGACCATGTGCCATTGCCATGGTAACATGAATAAATATAAACAGGCCTTTAAAATCGGTTTTGTTTATTTGCAGAAAATCTGGTCGTTAGATTTCCATTATAATTAGCATGCAACAAGCTTGTAACGATGCTCACAAGTTAACACTATTTTGATAATAATTTAACAGACAGATCTTTAATTATCCCTTGTTGAAGGTTCACAAGAAGATCTAAAATTTCCTTTCGTGCCAAATTTTGTGAAATTCTAATGAGTGGTTCTCGAGAAATAGCTTATAGGCGTATTTCCGAGAAAGCTATTCCGTATTCAATCACAATTTTTTGCCTTACTGCGCACGCGCTGCATTTAACTGGGTTCTGTCAATAAGAAAGAAAAATCTGAGAATTGCTGGGTTCTTTGCATCGTCACCTTTCCTAACATATATTTATAAAAGACTAAAACCATCAACACATTGCGTTCAATTACAAAGAAAAATAGCAAAGATATTGCTGGCATTGAGCAAATAAAATGATTGCTGTATCAACGGCATGTTTGTTTTTGAAATCCTTGTGTGCGCACTGAATCCCATTAGCAAGAGCACACGCAAAAGCTGTGTTCGGCCACCTTAAGTCAATTCAGTGCTGGGGACTAACCCTGCAACAGACTAGCATCCCATCTATGGGGTCGAGGGGGAGGAGAAGTACATGTACTTTTTATCACTTCATGCTTTCAAAACCAGGAAAATTAAGCTGCGGTGTCTTGGATCACTTGGCCTGACACAAATTCTACCTTACCTTCATTGTCAAGCCTCTCCCCTAGTAGGGTTGAAACTTTTTTTAAAACAAATCTGATGACTTACTTTTAATTTAATTGTGTAGTTTGTAAAATTTAAAAGATCAAGGCTGTCACAAAGGTTAAAACACCTTCTGTTTCTTAATAGATTCAAAACAGAGAAGCAACAATGAAAGTATTTGCTGAGACTTAAAGAAAGAATGATGTTGAAGCATTGGATTCCATATTAAGAGAGTCACAATTTCTTTGTGTTTGGTTTCATGTACTAGGCCTGTGGCAGATCCAGACCTTGAGTTAAGGGGGGGGGGGGAGCACTGCTTTCCCTGCCAACTTTTCTTCCTTCTGTGATTGTTTTTACCCAAAATAAGGGGGGCGGCCTGGGTCTCCTGGGCCGCCCCCCCTAGATCCGCCACTGTAGGCATGACAGTGTACAATGCAGGTGGAAAAAGAGATGTTACTGTTTCATTGTTCAGCTACATTGTATTTCAAGAAACTGTTCTTTGTGGCAATACTACATTTTAGCCCTTCATGGGTAGGGTGTACAAAAATTCCCTTTTTGCAATGCCTGCGGGGTTACTGTTGTGGAGGAGTATTTTTTTGTGGTAAGAGGGACACAGTAATCTACTGTTAAGCACTCTGGACTGCAGATCAAGAAGTCTGGGTTTGGGCCAACTGTTAGCGTCTCTGTTTTCTGGCAAGACACTTTACTGACTCGCACTACCTCTAAGTGTACAAATGGGTAGTGGGTAATTACTTTACACTGGGTGCTAACCCTGCGACAGTCACTTTCATCCCATCCCAACCCATCATTGTCAAACCTTGCCCCTGTAGGGTTCAAACTCTTATTAATCTGATGATTTTTTTTTTTTTTATTGTAAAGTTCTTTGAAACAGACAGACTCGCATCCCATTTGTGGTGGAGTGGGACTTCTCAATATCACTTAATGCAACAGAGACTGCAGGGTTAAACTGTAGTGGTTTAGATCACTTGGCCTGATGCAGACTTTACCTTACCTTCATAGTCCAAACTTTTCCCTCAAGTAGGGTTAAATTAAATCTGATGACTTGCATGTATTTTTAATTGTGTAGTTAATGTAAACTTAAAGGATCAAGGCTGTCATAAAGGTTAAAACAGTTTCCATTTCTTACTAGATACAAAACAATGCTGTGTGAAGAAAGATTCAAATTGAGGCAATAGATTCCAATTATCAGGTGAACTCATCTTTTTCTTTCTTTGTGTTTGGTCGGAGAGGTTATCAGTTACTCAATTTTACTTGTGCTAGAAATAATTGCACACAATGCAGACAGGAAATTAAAACAAATAGAGATGTTATTGTTTCACAGTTCAGCTACCTTTGTAAATTGCACTGCATTGTGTTCTTGGACATGTTCCTCTCACAGTGCCTCCCTGCACCCATATCTACAAATAGATACTGGGTCAATTTCATACTGGGGCTAACCCTGCAACAGATTGGCATCCCATTTAAGGGTGGGAGGGGGATTAGAGAGATGTCATATCAATGTTGATGCTACAGAAATTGAGATAAGGTGCAGTAGTTTGGATCACTCAGTCTGATGAAGAGTTTACCTTAAACCTTCACCATCGAAACTCCCCCCCCAATAGGGTTGAAAGTTCAAAAATCTGATGACTTATTTATAATTGTGTATTTTTGATTTGCAGTTTCTTACTAGATACGAAATTGAGGCACAAGGAAAAGAGCTATGTGCTGAGACTCAAGAAGAGAAAGAATCAGGTTAAGACATGGGATTCCATAGTAGGTCTGTCTGGGTTAATATTATTTATGTTTGGTAATAAGGTATCATGTACTAGGAATAATTATTGTAGACAACACAGGCAGAAAATTGAAACGAATAGAGATGTTATTGTTTCACTACTGTTCAGCTATTTTAACAAACTGTTGTTAAGTAGCCGTATACCTTAGCCCTTTAGGGGTAGGGTGTACAAAAATTCCTTAAGAATTGTTAAGGAAACCTTGATGTCATAAAGGTTAAAGCATTGCCTGGGGTACTGTTGTTGAGGAGTATTGTTTTGTGAGACTGGAGGGACACAGTGGTCTAATTAAGTTAGTGTACTGGACTGCATGTCAAGCAGTCTGGGTTTGAGCCAATGTTTAGGGTCTCTCCGTTTACTCTCACGCTACCTCTCTCCACCTAAGTGTACAAATGGGTACTGAGTGAATTTAATACTGGTTGCTAACCCTGTGACAGGCTAGTATCCCATCCAGGCAGAATAGTAATACACCTTATCACTTAATGCAACAGAGACCTGGATAAGCTGTGTTGGTTTGGATCACTTGTCCTGATGCAGACCTTCATGGTAAAAAAACTTGTCCCTGTATGGTTGAAGTGGAAAAAATCTGATGGTTTATTTTTAGTTGTGTAGTTTTTGAAATGAAGAGGTGAAGGATGTGATGTCATAAAGGTTAAAACATTTCCTGATTCTTACTAGATACAAAACAGAGAAGAAATTATAAAAGCTGTGCTGAGACTCAAGAGGAAAAAGAATCAAAATGACACGTTAGATCCCTTATTAGGTGAGTCACAATATTCTTTTAAAGGGAAGGGTTTTTAATTACAGTGTACTTGATGCATGTACTTGGAATAATTGAACACAATGCTGGCAAATAATTTAAACAAATAGAGATGTTATTGTTTCACTGTTCAGATATTTCAAGAAACCCTTGTTATATTGCTAGCCGGATACCCTAGCCCTTCAGGGTGAGGTTGTACAAATATTGCTTTAGAATAGAATGCCCGAGGTATTGTTGTTGATAACTGTTCAAATTGTGAGACAAGGGGCCTAATTGGATCAGCGGCCAATTGCTTTCCAGTTCATGTATCAATGCTTCCTTAGCCATTAAGCCTCATGAGTGATCAGCTTAAATTTTTTCCAGACAGTCTCAAAGATAATCACGAAGAAACAGTAAAGAGAATTTAGAGAGTAATCTCAAAAAGGAATTGTTTAAATTACACCAAACCAGTTAGGAGAATTTGTTTCTTGACTACGGACTCGGCAATTAGAAGAAAGGATAGAGGATACTGTCTTGATATATCATCAAATTCCCAGAACAAACCTTGAAAGAAATTTACAGCAAAGAACACCAGACAGCCTTGAAATTTGGACGTAAAGTTCTTGTTGAAAAGATCATGTACGTTATCATTTCAAAAGTGCCAAAGGAAAAAATGTACCCAATTTTATTTTGCTATAGAAAGTAAATGAAAATGCTGCATAGATTTAATTTGAGTGGACAAACATAGGGATCTTATACATAGATCTTAAAGTTAGACCCACCTTGTGGAGCATAATAACAGTGCCACATGAGAGTACTGCATGTGTCCTCAAAGTGCACGTGAAATAACTTTCTCGGTTACAAACGTCAGTCTCATCATATGCCAAAACCTTTCATAGTGGGATAGAAATGCCTCATAACTGCGTTCACATCACCAAGTTATTTAATTATTTCTTTATTTTTTATTGCCACGACATTTTACGTTTTCATCGTCGTCTGAATTTCCCTCTGGGATTTCAGACACCTTTGGGGAATGTTCTTGAAATAGCTGTCAATGTGAAAGTCGCTTTCTGCCTTTCAGTCGTATAGTTTCATAAAAGCTTGTCAAAGCTAGCTGTAGCTGTCGGGTTCTCAGATCAAAGGTGAACAAGAGAAAAGCATAATTACCAGTAAATTACAGTAAATTCTATTGTAATTAGCTAATAATTGTCTCGCAGTACACGTACGTCTTAGAAAACGGTTTTGCTCGTTTGCGTAAGACATAGTACGGCATTTGAACAACAGTTTGAATTTCAAAGCAAATTTGTCTTGTTATTCACTTGTGTCGATATGTCAATTTTTATTTGTATTTTGGTTTTAAGCGTCCATAACCTATATTGTAATACTATAGAAACATGAAGCTAACCTAGAGCTTCCCATTTTCAAAAAATTTAGGAGGGGAGAAAATGCAAATATTTTCCGTTTTGCCGTGAAATTTTTAGTGTGCTATTTTGCAGGTGAACTTTTCGCCAGCAAACGTTGGAAGTCAAGGTTAATTTTAGAGTGCTATATTTTAGCTGGTGTTATTTATTTCGAGTTGCTGCTTGTCCGCGTTTTAAGTTGTTTTTAATGTCATTTTTGATGATATAACCAAACCGACAAATGCATTCCCGATGGGAGAAGTGACATGTAAACTAAAGTCGACTATACACTGTATGTATGTTTTGTTCTCTGGATTTCAGTATACCCATTGTTAATTGGACGTTTTATTTATCTTTCTTTCAGGCTGTCATCTCAAGTGTACATACAGTGACATTAACACGGAGAAAGGAAAGCAAAGAACATCGCTTAGTTGTTGTTGTTGTTGTTTTTTCCAGTGGATCAAGTTTTAAAAGTAAGGTAGATTTACGAGACAGAGTTTATCTCGATTGAATTTCTTGCGAAAGATTGTTAGCGCGGAACTCGTATCAGTGATTTCACAACACAAAACTCGAGTCAAAAGACGACATTGGAATTACTGTCAATTTGTCTAGTATTGGCATTACCTGGATTTGTTTTTGCAACCCGAATTTTCAGCCGAAAGTCTCGTTATTAAACTCGCTGAAATTACTGTCTAATTTTGTAGTATTTATTTCACAAATCTACTGAAATCTTTCTAGTTTTCGAGGACGTGTAGAATTTATGAAAAGGTTGCGCTTTTAGAAGGGCCATTAAAAAATCGAAAAATGGAAATGTCCTTAGAAAAAAAAAGCCTGCAATTTTAAATGGTGTCTGGTTTTGAGTCAAACATAAACAGAGTCTTTTGGCGGAAAGAAATCTTGCTCTATGTAGGATTTTTCCCTCAAAAGTCACAGTATATGCTTGATTTCTGGTTAGACTCTGTTCAAAAGCGCAGAATTTTTTTTCTTCTTGGCAACCCTGCATAGTCAAAAAAATGTAAAAGAGATAGCCTACATTTTGACTAGTTCCCAGGCCCTTTTAAAAGCGCAATTTTTTTTATTTTGTTTTCTTATTGTTTTTAATTGAATCATCAAAAAGCCAATAAAAGTTATATTGAAGACAAGTGTGTAATTGACTTCTACTTGCTGTAATATTTTTTCAGCAATGTTAGAATAATGTACACAATAAAAACCACAACTTGTAATGCCCTTTCCATTTAATTTTATTGTTTTGCATTAATAAGTAAAGTACACAATAAAAACCACCACTTGCTGTTTTTTCATTTAATATAACTTTATTGTTCTGTAATAATAAGTAACTAATTAATTGAAAATTAGTTGAATTAAATTAAAACGTGTGAAGGAAAAACTTCGCGTTTAAAATCTAAGACTTTTGGCGGGAAAATTTTAAAACATTTGCACAGCGTTTCCCCTTACATCTTTTTTGAGAAAAGTTAAAAAAAGGTTGCCCTTCGCAAATTTTTGATCGCAAAAAAATTTTGAAAGGCAACAGTTGACAAAAAATCCCGTCAAAAACTACTGCACCACCCTCGCATTGAAAAAGCAGTTTTAAAATTTCAAGATAGTTTTTCCGTCCTAGCCAAACAGTTTTCAAATTTCATTTTTCAACGAACTTCGCGTTGGTTTTTGTGCGAGGTGATGCAAGAGTTTCAAAAGACACGAAAAAGATGAAATGACAAGTGGATGAAATAAGTGACAAAATAAAATTTCATTCCAAAATGGACTTCAAAATCTCGCAAAGTGACCGTGGAATACCGTTTCAACTAACCGAGTTCAATTGTATATCCAATCGAGTTTGATCTGCAACTGTTTGAAGCTTGTCATTTCATATCTTTCTCCTTCAGACGATAATATAGATGGTACATTTCGGATCAGTTGCACAGGAGCAAGAACACTTATCAATCAAAATCCAATCATTGTCCCCCAGCAAAACTGCCTAATTTCGATGGTTTATAACCCATTTAAGTTTCGAAATAAGTTAATTTTCTCTTCCGATTCGACCGTCTGCCTGCAGCCAAAGTGTAAACACCACAAAATAATCAATATCTGGTAGTACAAAGATGTTTTCCTAAAATAACGCAGTTTCTTCGGCCGGTTCTGTATATTACACGACAATGTCGGAATAAACTACCGCAAATATATAAATCTCTTGTTGAAAAGGTTTCGAAAATATTTTACTCTGTTTTGAACAAAGCTTATCAAAAAACTGAATGCTTATGTACTCCTTTTGGACGTCCAGAAATTTAAACGTTAGAAATGACAAAAGAAAACAAACAATCATGTTTTCAAAGACGCCATGAGAACTTTGTTTAACAAGGCAAGTTTTTAATACCAATTCAGATGCAAATATTATAATCCTTGTTAACGAACTTGTTGCTGGTCGTTCTGCTTTTGGTTATGATTGCTACAAAATTGTTGGCAGCCTTTTAAATCTTGAAAAACAATCTGTTAAATAGATAATTCTAAATGTTTATTGCATGCTAGTCGCATGGGAAAGGTTCCTTTTGACGGTCATTGCTAGACAATATTGTTGGAAAACAAAAGATGGCAAAATCAAAATTTCTAATTGTTAAAGCATTCACAGAAACAGGTTTTATATTTTCAGTTGTTCTCCACGATCCTGAATTCGTTCGTACTTTAAAGCTGAAAATATCAATTCTCCTTAACGATTGCCTTACTTGGTCTTAACTGTAGTTCTGAGAATTTGGTTGCACATCAAGACAATATCTCCTAGTCGATGATTTCGTTTATCGTTCACGCTATATTTCTTACCTTTTCTTTTTTTACAACACCTTTTATTAACCAGATATTGAATTTACAAACCTAAACTTTAATATCTAGAGGTTAAACAAACGTTATGTCGTTAAGGTGGCACTTTTAAAAATTGAGAGTTGTGTAGTATGTCCAATAACCTGAAGATATTTTTAATTTATTTTACATGTGTTACAACAACACGCAAGAAAAGCTTCGATTTACAGCGAAATATAGCTATCTCGGTAATCAGATGATTCTGAATGCAGTTTGTAATCTCTGAGAAGTTTCTCTTTAGCCTTCCAAATTCCTCAAAGTCAGTTCATAAAACTATCGCTACCGTGGATAATTTTTCGGAAGTCTTCGGAAATCTTCGAGTGATCTCCGGAACCCTATCGTTGGCGATCTTCGGAATACCTCGGACGGCTGTCGGCAGCCGTTTGGAATCTTCTTATTTCTTTAGAAATCTTTGTAATTTGCGATCGACGTTTTTGGCCACAGTCTATAGATATTTGTTTTTAAGTCTGTCTCAGATTGTTGAAACTGGTTGCAAATAATTTCATAATACAATTGTGTGATCATATAATTAATTGAGATGATCATCCGTACTCTTTCAAGAGTAATTTTCATTGTCCTGGCATTTTTCTGCTTTATCATATTTAGAGTTTGAGGCTTTATTCGATGATAATTTAATGCTTGAGATAATTGTAATAGTAGCAAGACAATTTAAATTTGTTACAGAATAATTTCGTTTTTTCCAGAATATATTTTTTCTGTTTCACGCTACAGGCATGCGGTCCTGCAATCTCCTTTTACGTGAAAAACACTGAACTTCGAGGTTTCATTACTCGATCTGAAGAGAGTAAAAGGTTGCACGATAATTACTATTATTATTATTCGTTGTAGAGTGAATTTCGTTTTGCCAAATATTTTTTTCGTTGCAGTACAGGCCATTTATATCTTCTTTTGCCTCAAAAGATAAAAACGTACACGTTTTGATCACAAAAATTTGGTGTTTCCAAATATTGTGCCATCGTAAAAACTCAACGTTGTTTATCCACTGAAAATATTTCATGAAATCATGTCGACCAAAATGGTGGCTACCAGAATTGAGATCTAAGATTAATTACGGTCGAAGGTTACCTATTGAAAAATGATTAACAGTAGCTCGAAACAAATAAATACCACGACCTTTTTTTACCAGAAATAACCTCGACAACTAATCCTTACAACGTAAATTTCAAATTTATTGCCGCCACTTTAATCGAGAGTTATGAAATTAAAATTCTTATCTTATTGCCATCAATTGTCAACTCCTCGTGAATATCCAATCTCTTCTTTCGTTCGCAGGGTCGTACCGATAAATTCCATCTTCGCCTTTAGACCATTTCCTCTCCTTAAAAATAAGACAATAAAGAGAAACATAAGCTTTTCCTCGGGACAAATCTATTTTCAAGATTCATTATTAATTAATATCAGGGCAAGCAGCGACCGAAGCTTATGAACCGGCTGCACGTGGTAACGGTTTTCAACTTTGCGGGAGCAACACGCAAGGACAACACGAAATATCAAACAAATTCAGCGCAAGTATCTTACAAACTTTCGCAAAAACTGTATTTCTTAACCATGTCTGATTGCAAAACTGCAACTGTGTGGTTTATGAACGAAGCTGTGCCGAGCTCGGTAAAGAAAATTGCCAGCGAAGGGTGGGACTTTAGGAAGGTAGAATTGTTCCGTTCGGTGAAGAGCAAAGAGATTAAAACATACACTCACCATTAATATTCTAATATTTCTATCTCGTTCTGTTTTTTCTTCTTCGAAGGAAAAATATGGCCAGATCTGACATCACCAGGAACACATAAATCCACGTCTTCACGCTATGACAAACTGTTTCGTTTGACGCAAATTCCACAAGTAGTCATGAATATTGATCACAAACTAGAACCAATCGCTGACAAAAACGTCGCCGCATATTTTCACGACTTGGATTTTAATTGTTATGCAAAACTATTGTATCACTTTAAAAAATGTCCATTTCACTCCAAGTCTTTGCAGTTTTAGGCTTTATTAAAAAAGTGATACGTGACATTGAATACATTTGTAAAGAATGACTCACGCGGCCGTCATGTTTCATTAAATAACCTTTTTTCGATAATCTTATTAGTCAATTTTTGCAGGTTTTTAAATAGCCCTAGGCTGGGTTGGTCAAAGCCTCATTAAGCTAACCCAGGATTAGTGAGAATTTAGGGTTCGGCTTTGTAGTTTTTCCGTGAGGTTTTCTGGTTATATCATTTGCCCTTCAGTTTTGAGCTTGTGTAATCTCAAACCACACAAAACAGAAGCAGCGAAGAACATTTCACACAACAAAAATTGATACTTCAGTTAACTTTTAACCCTGGGTTAGTGTTAACCGGTTTTCGAACAACCCGGCCCTGATGGCCTACTCCGAATCAAGGCTTATAATTAGGTACAAGCTAGAAGGGCTGGAAGGGTTGCTGATGATGTGAATTTTTAATTGTATTGCATTAAAAAAGGCGGACACGTTATGTTTATACTGACGAATATTTAACAATTAGATTATGAGCTCGAGATTTTTTTGAAGTGATAGTTGATGAGGCCGAAGGCCAATTCAAGTATCATCCCATCAGAAGAAATCAAGAGCGAATAATCTAATTGTTTCAATAGAATTCTAACTAAATTTGCTTCAAATAACGAATACTGATCATTTCTCAACGTAGTATTAAACTTCATGCCTTAGCAAGAACTCGCGGATTGAATTTTATTTGAAACTTGCATTTGCCCACGCGCTTATCGGTGAAAAATGTTGAAGTTTTAAAGTCGCATAGCGGTCAGTTTCCGGCTTCTTTAGTGTTCTTGAGCATTTAATTACCAGTGATATTTCTAAATAGTCCTCGAAACAGAAGAGACAAACTAGAAGACTCAGCGTTGCGACCATGAAGACAACTTCTCGCCACTGCACTCTAATGGCTGATAGTATACGAGTAGCTCAGCCAATCAGATTGCAGCAATTGCATTAGCATACTGGTAGAACTCATTTATTTGAGTGTTATAATAAACATAGTACATGCTTTGAACCAAGGTACAAACTGTTATGATTAAGTTTAATTTAATATCAGTTGGTAATGAAGAAGTACAGTTCTGTCCTTGTGCTTCTGTAAATGAACAAAATAATCGGTCTAGACAGGGAGGGGTTTACGTTAGGAAAACCGATACCTTAAAAAGAGACATTTGACTTTAATTTTCAACATGGACAAGAAAAATAAATTAAAACCTGGGCAGACAAAACAGCATTTTAATAGAGCTTCCAAAGGAAAAGCTAAAAAATTACGAGCGTCTAAAGTTTTCATCAAATGTCATCTCTTTATGCATTCGAAACAGACTGTGAGAAAGTGAAACCTGAATATGCAACCGACAGAAAAGAAGGAAACTAATTAGAAGACATGCATTTGCATGAAAAGGGGATATCTTAATGATTGATAACCCGAGAGGAAGAAACAAGATTATCAATAAATGATTGCAGAGCAGTAACACGAAATTAACAACCTTGTCTAGTCGAGGAAAAAACCGCAAAACGAAAATAAAACGCCAGAGTTACACGTTCTCCTGAAATAAAAGCGTTTGTAACTTTTTAACACAACTATTAGGTCCACACACTTTCGAGTCGCTTATTTATTTCAAGATGTCACTTAATAAATTAAGAGAAGCAAGAGAGTTATTTTTTCCGTGCAATTAAAAACATCAGTAAACCTGCTATTGAATTGGCTTCCAGCCAGCCTCATCTAACTGAACTGTTAACCTTCCTACGGTACGAACTCTTCCTGTAAATAAGGGTTTTAATTTTGTTACTGTTATTTTTTTTTTACGTTACAAAATTCTGGCAAGGAGTCCATTTGGACGCTTTCAGGTTGCAGCGTGTAATTAAAGTGCCGTATTGATATTTGGAATTTGCATCACAAGTGAATACGGACATCGATTGAAAGGCGATGCAATTTTCAGCTCTTAATACTCAGAGTGAGTTAGTCCGCCTGCGTACTTCCACTGGGTTTGTCTTTTAAAGAGTATATCGTACTACAGTTGCCATTGCCGTAATTCATGGCTTTTTCAGATGGACGGAAGGTAAGTTAAAAAAAGTTGGCAGGGTTGAAAATTGAAGCATTTTCGTTACAATCGTGAACTGAAACATTATCAGTTTCACTTGGGGTTTCTGAAACTAAGGCGACGAACAAATGCGCCTGGGCTACAAAATGACAAATCAATAACAACGGTAAACTAAGAAAAACACCGAAGATTAAAATCAAACGGTTTTTTTTTTATATAAAAAAAGATATCAACAGTTCAAGGTTAAAACAATCAAATTTTTTTCTAATTTGGACTTGTGGAAAATAACTGTTTTTGAATATTGTTTGGGTTATTGTGGCGTGTCTTAGTGTGAGCGTGTGATTTTTGCATAGGAAAGCCATTTTCTTGTTTGAACTGACAGGCAATGCTACCAGTTGCCATGATTGTTGACATTTTGACATAACTTTGGCACTTCTTCTTGAGAACGTACACTGTTTTGTATTTTGGCATTGGGATTGGAAAGTATGTCTATGAGGACTGCAACCTGAGTTGTCCTCTTCTTCGCGTCTTCTTCTAAAGGATACTGAGCTGAGACGAGACGAATGTATGGGCCGAGTGTACGAAACTCTTGTTTTAAACATGTTAAAAATCTTCGGTCACCCTAAACTACATATTAGGGTAATTAGGAAAAGCGCATAGTTGGATTTACAAATAGACCCTTTCAGTGAATTCAAAAACCCTGCTTAAGTGCGTTTTGTGTCACCTTAATTTTCAATATCTACGTTATTAACTGATGAAGCCTCTGATTTGCATAAACAAAGCACTAAATCCTGCGATAACGATATTTCTGCTGTTAAATTATTTAGAACCACAAGCACTTAAAGATTGCCACTTGAAAAGAAATCAACGCGTCTACAAAACCGTCCTAATTATTTTCATTTGGTTTAAAATGTTTTCTTTACATTTGCGCATATTCACGGCTCGCTAATGGTATAAGCACAGTTGTAGGGTGTAGTCAGTAAGCCATGACAGGCAATACTAAGATCTGCGAGGGTTCTTTTAATACGTGTTTATTAATTAGAACTGGAATCTTTCCACTTTTCTCCGTTCTTATACATGAAGCACAGAATCATGACATCGCAACTAACCTTTGCCAAACTTACCGCGACTTTGCCCTAATATATCGGCCTTGGCGGGCAACAAAAAATAAATCTCTTCGATTCCGAAACGAGTGAAAGAAATAAGTGTTTTTCAAAGTTTATATATTTGTTCATTACAATTCATGGCAGAAAAAAATATGCAAAAAAAGAAAGAAAAACGATCAAATATACGAACAGAAAAAAAAAATGTGAAAACAAGTAATACGAAATAAGAGTAGTAGCGATAGAAGGCCGGTAACAGAGTGCAAGACCGCATGCGTACTTGGCGAGACACCGCGAATCACGAGTTATGTATGTACAGATGACAATACATAATAATGATAAAGGATAGATTAAGATAAACTAAACTAGAAATGATGATTATATGATTCATATATGGCTTGTGAAAGAAACTCAAATCGTGAGAAGTCCAATCCTTCAGCAGTCCTTCAATCGTACCACCCCTCCCTCTCACAATTTAAGACAACATCCAAACACCTGGACCATTATGTAAAAACGAAGGGAGTTTGATGCCAACATTTATCCGCTTGAAACGTTCGCACTTCACTCTGAACGATTAAAAAGTATCACAAGACTTGAATACAAATAAAGCGCTCTGAAATATAACTTCACTGTGAACAGCTCGTCTTACTGGTAAGCTAGTCCTTGCGGTAAATCACCTGTTCACTGTGTTCAGTTCAAGGTTTGAAAGTAAATTCTCATTTAGGCAGACACCTCTCGAAGGTTAGCAGACACCAGACACCCATTAAGCAACAATCTGGTCACGAAAACTCTCAAGATGACCACTATGCAAAGAGGGTCTGTTATAGGGGGTCGTACATACCGCAAACCATCATATTTTGCTCATTCAAAACTGCAGACAGCTTTCGTTTTCCCCTAAAAACCAAAACTGCCCTACTAGTGGGACGTTTTACTCGCATCATAACCTATCTTTTAACAGTGCGTAACAAATTATTTACGATATGTTAGCTCAATAATCATATTTCTCCTCAGAAAGTCCAAATTGTTTCCAACCAAAGTTTCTAACTCCATTCAGTAACCAGCGAACAAAACATTTTGATGTCTAATGCGCTGTTCACAACTGAACACAAAAATCGCTCGAGGTGTTTGAACAACCGCCACAAAAACACTCAAAAACCGAAAACCGCAAGCAGAATTTATAATTTCCAGCAACCGCACGATAATTTCTTAATCGTAAACCGCCAGATAAATGTGAATGTACCCGAAAACCGGCAATCAAAATTGGCTTAAACCGCCAAACCGCCAGAGTATAATAGACCCTCTGCAAATTTACATTAATCTAAATAGATTATTAGCTGGATGATCACGTACTGCCTTCATCTAGCTAGCACAGGCTAACATCAACATAGTCTGGCTCAACAACAGCCCCTGTCTTTTGAATTACACTCCGAAAAAAAAAAACAAAAAAACAAAAAAAGAAACGGGTCAGCAAAGATAGAGAGTATACTGAACTGAACTGAATATGAAATAAGTCTTTGGCTATGTTAAGATTTTGTTCCGGTTCAGATTTTACTATCTCTTTTGTCTTCCTTTTTGTTAACTTTGCAAATTAGCTTTCTTTTCTGTTGTCCTCCTTAGAAAAAGTTCTCTGTAACTGATCTTAACTTTGTTTTCAAGTTTATGTTGAGCCGAATACAAGAACTGCTCGAGAACTACTATGAAACTAACTCGGCGTGGTTTATTTAATTATTAAATTGTTGATTTTATGGTTGTCTAGGATATATTTGGCTCTCTCAACACGGAAATGAAAACCATATCTTGGGAGTCGAAACTCAGACTGTACAAAGCAATTTTTTTTTTTTGTCTTGCCGAGCACAACGTTCCATTTTTACTAAAGGACAAATTAAGCAAACTTTAAATGAGGTTGCATGTCGACTACTGTCGTTGGAATTGAGACAGTTTTAATAATTAATGTCATTTCAGTATTGTGGCAATCATGCCACAGGCTATGATAAAAATGAGCCATTCATTACAGCGTTGCAAAAATTACAGGCTTAAAAATACTCCTTCAACTAAGACATTCCGTGATAAAAAATGTCACGCTTTGAACATCAGGATTTCGCACCGATGGTGGAGGGATGTCACTTGGTAAACTATGAAGCACGGTTTAATTTGGGATTCGGATTCGGCGGAAGTTTCGGTAAACGAGATCATGAATATTAACACTTTCCTGCATGATAATTATGTCATAATTCTAATAACAACAGTCTTTTAATCAAAACAAGTATAGAAATGATTTGCAAATGACTTAGTTTATGCACTTTTTATCAACACCGCAAAGAACCTGATTAGAAAGTCGATAGAGAGTAATTGGAGAGAAAATCAGTCGAAATCAAGAAAAACAAGGAATACTACGGTCCACCAACGAAGGTTAGTTAGCTTTACATTAACGACGCAGAAAACAAGACCGTTCATTACGCTTACTACTACTTTGCACCTGTAAACGTTTTCATTTAAGAAGGGGCAATTTTCATCTATTTTAAAAATTTCTAGAAGCTCGTAAGCATAGGTAGTGTGCAGGGAAACAGAAAATTTAATAGATTTGTCTTTGCATCAGGGATTTGACGAATTCGTCAAATTGCATGCACTGAAAATGAGTCAAACTGCATGCACAGAAAACAAGAAATTATCGGTTGTCTAGTTTTTACCTTGACCTTAAACTCCCTCACTTGAGAAGCTTTTGCCTCTCTGGCTAGTCCACGCGTGTTTGGTTGATTTTTGCTTTACGTTGTGTTTTTATGACATTTTTCGTCAATTAATACCTTATGTAGATGTAAATTTAACAGCATGAAATCTTTCAAAGTAAAATTGAAAACAGCATCGGACGCCAGGATGGACGAAGCAATAAGACAGATTCTGCTAACGCGGGACGCGTTCCATTTGAAAAAAAAATTCTGGTGTAAATTTCCTGAAATTTCAAGGTACGAATGGAACAGAATTTTCAAGAATGGAAAACGATAAGCCTGTTCCACTATTCGCATTTTTTTTTTCCAAAATTGAAAATGGCTGACTCTCCTACAGTTTTGTTCGCTTGTAATTATTCGAGGTTTAAATCGCAAATCTAGAAGCAAACAGAACACTACTGATACGTCGACATCGTGATGTTTACATCACAACCGCAGGGACCTTTAGCAGCGAAAACTTCGCAAAACAAAGGGTCTCGTGAGTGGTACAATGGCTCTGCACTCGTTATAAATCTTGGTATATTTCGTAGCCATCCTATGCAAAACAACAAGAAAAAAAAGACAAGTATATCACGGGAGCATATTTTTTATTGAAATTAAATACTTTCCTGACGTATTTTAGCTGTAACTAGTATTTATCGACAGACTAGAGGCAAAACTCTAAAGGACTGAGTATATTTAACACTTTTCGAATACTTGTCCCGTTATCTTTACGCTTGATGTCGTTCTCGCCGTGATCGCGGCCAAAAGAACCTGAGCGCTGAATAGAAAATCGAGAATTTGCATAATTTCTGAAAAGGAGGACAACCTCCTGAGGTATTCCCAGATTTTCGAAAAAAAAAAATTCCTGGAAATTCCTGTTCCTTTAGACTTTTATCCTGGCCAGTTTAAAGAATTCTCGGTTGAATGGGTCGCTTTTCGGAAATTCAACAATTTCCGGAGTTTTTGGAACATTTCCCGTGAAATTTCCATACCATTTGTCCCTGTTTCGAAACTTTCCAAATTTTAATTTAATGAAAAGCGCCCGCGTGTTTACATCCTGGTTCACGCCATCCAATTCAGATCATGTGATGATTCATTACAATTGCTCTGTTCGCACCGTATCGTCATGCACCCAGTTGCGCCTGACAAATTGCACAAACCTCCAAAATAATCATCACGTGGTCTGAATAGGGTGGCAACAAGGATGTAAAACACATTAATCCCGTTCAGGCCTGAATTTTTTTTCAGGCTTTATTTTTACAGCTGTTCAAGTTGTGTATATAACTGCGATGATCAATCATGGCTTCGTATCTCATGATCGTCGTAGCTCAAACATACGATCTTTCATATATTCACCTGGTTAACTTTTTAAACCTTAAAACTAGGTTTCCTTCGATGTGAAGACGAAACAATTTTTGAAATAATGTAACCTCAGTCTCAAAGGGAGAACCTGGCGGTTTTTTTTTTTTCCTCTATAAATTCAAATGACAAACTGACCTTGTTTGAGATAAATATAATTGCGTATTTATACAATGTATTATATAATTCACATCACCTGGTGATATACAGCAACACAAGCAAGAAGAGGAGGAAAGTACGAGCAAACTGGTCATTTGGCGCGACTGGGAATCAGATGAGATCACAATGACCGCAGGCTGGTTTACAAAAACCGTAATCTTTTTTATGTTAGCGCTGAACGTTGCTGGCAGGTAAGATGAATAAAACCCTGTAACAAAATGTGTATTATTATTTACATTTCACCAAGAGACTCTGATCATATCTTTCTTTCACGGATCACTATTAAAATTCCAGCCTACTGAGTCGAAGTTTATCATAACATTTAAAACGAATGAAATTAAAAGACCTTTAACCCACCGATAAATGGTGTAGCGCTAGTTCAAATAGCGCAGGGGTTCAAAAATTGCCCATTGTAAAAAATAGCTTGAAAATCGCCCCGACCTGAGGTTAATTCTGAATGGCGACAAAAATGCAGATGAATAAAACATCTTTATCGGTTCAGTCACAGTATAGTGAAATCGACTGATAAGTAAATTCAATAAATGATTGTAAAATAGTTTTGAATTCCTGTTTTGTGATTTCAGCGAGACAAACGCAACAGAAGAAACAGTAACTGGAACAGTAAACGTTTCAATGAGTTTGGCCGAATATCTAAGAACCAAGTATGATAAGACAGTGAGGCCCAACATCAGCTCAGGTAAGAAGATTCAACGGCTCAGTTGTTGCATTTGAATTACATTATTGTTACTTACAATTCGTAATTTTTTTACAGCCAAAGCGTCTTTCGAATTCAGTTTACCTATTGTTATTTTGGCGAGCACCTATCGTTACTAAGGTGTCAGTAGTATGTTGAAGTTCCGATCATAGTATAGCATGTTTTCTTGAATGTTGTTATATGTGGTCCACGAGTTGGCCATTGGGCCCTTTGGTTTAGCTGTTCAATGAATTTGACAATTATTAAACGAGCGGGGGTTGGGTTTGAGGTGATAGATAGCTAAAGAGGCGCCTAGCACACAGTTGGCTTTATATAACCAAAAAGTCCGCGAGTGAAATAATTGTTTGCTTAAAAAACGCCCCCAAAATATAGAAACCTTAACATACACATACGCGTACCCTTACCATCAAGTTTGTAGAGCATGGTATAATTGCTCATATACCATGATGGCTAAACCAATGAAAACCCTTGAATTGCATTATCCGTTGAGATGCAGTTTTTAATAAATCTGTATACACAAGTATGTTACTAGTTATTATTCTTTGACTCTGCTTGATAATCATAGGCAAACCTACTGAGGTTTCTCTTGACATTTATGTGGAGTCGTTTGGAAACATAAAGGAAGTGAACATGGTAGGAAACTGAATGAGTCGCTCACAGCTTAGTTATCATTCTACTGTTAAAAAAAAAACGTTTCTCGAGGTTAATTTGAGAATAGAAACAATCATGTCCCTTAATTTAACACCGAGAGGAAAGGAGAAGGCCTTTACGAGCTTGTTCAAACCGCCTCAAGAACGTATAGAAACAGGCTATTAAATTCATAACAGCAACCCGGAGAAACATTTTTCCTCCCGAGGCCTACAGGTGCAATGTGAAGGAGACTTGATAACTTCATTTCAATTACTGCAGGAAAACGGACTCGCTTGCACCAACATAACAAATGTTATGTAAAGACGTGATAGCACTTATATACACAACTTAAGCAACCGTGAAAATAAGCGGCCTAGGAATAATTTAGGCTTCAACGCTGCTTAAAGGACCTACGTCACGGTTTGCGCATTTTGAAGAGTTTAGGCTCAATTTTTCAAATTCGTCGATTGTAATCCGTGTTAATCTTCTCCATCTTTAGCCATCCTTGTTCCTTTATGGTTTCCTACCATTTAAAGGTATTAATTTTGTATGTGGCCAAAATAACTCAAAATATCGTGACTGAGCTCCTTTAAGTGTACATAACTGCGATGATCAATGATCACTTGCATCTCGGATGTTTCTTGGGTCATTTAAATCTTCGTTGCATGCAAATCATTCGACTATACATGTCTATACATGTTTTTGTCTAATAAAACTTCATGTTGTATCTCTTTCTTTAGGAATTCCCAGGTTTCATGTATCTTCGTCAGATGTGGTTTGAAGATCGTCTCGCTGAGTTTGTGAAATCAAAAGGTCTCGTTCTCCAGCGAGATTACATTTCTCAACTGTGGCTACCAGATCCCTATTGCTATAACGCTAAAACGTCCGACCTCATGTTGCCTGATACAGAGGTTCATAGCGTTGTTAGGATTGATCCGAATGGATTCGTTCTGTATAGCAGAAGGTCAGTTGGTTTTATTCCTCTCGTTTGTAGNGTCTACAGGCATGCTACTGAAACAAAGGAAACAAATAATTGTGTCAAATAAACGTACAACATAGTTAAAAATCCCAACTGGCAGGATGTAGACCAGGTGGGTATTTACAAAGCATGACCAGGGATTTGAATTCAGGATGAGAATACCATAGCATCCAAGATGGCAGACCAAAATGCTGATTTTATCATGAAAGAAAGCTACAGATCTTTATCTGTTTTCTAAAAAATTCCAAAAGGATTATTAACACTCAGAATGCAGGGAACTCATAAGTAAATTTAAGAAATTTTTTTTTTTTTTTTTCTGGTAGAGTAAAACTAAACTCATCCAGTGGACGAGTTTTTGTGTTGTTCTGGTTGTTCCTATGTTTTTTTTTTTTTTAGTTGTCACGGACAACCAGACAACTGCAAATATGGAAATTGCAGGCAGACCACAAGCTCAGAATATGTTCTGAAATAAGTACAAATTGGGGTCAAATCCCAACAGGACTCATAACAAACCAAATAACATGGTAGAAAGGGTTTCCAGAAAAGTTATATGATGAAGTCAAAGTAAACTAAAATTTACATTCGTATCCTAAAAATGTTGCTACTTGTTGTGGAAATTCCCCCCATTTGCCTGTGTAAGTATCACATATGCTCAAAAGTTGATCATCTTTAAGGCAGTAATCAGTTCATATCTTGCTATTTACATTATTGATCAGAAGTAAGTTACCACCATCTCTCTAAATGAGTCTTGATTCTCTTGAGATGCATCTTGATTCTTTTGAGTCTTTTGATCTTGTTTATGGTTTCGATAGCAAGAAAAAAAAACATTGTACGCTAAACAGTTAACCCCATTACCAACCCTTATAAGAAAAACTTTCCTCTACATGTAGATAGTCAAACCAGGCAGGCAAAATCATCCTCACAGCCGGTCAATTTGCCTGGTGCCCGGCCCGTAATGACACTCCCTGTAAATTGTTGATGTTATCCTTCAAAGCGAATAATTATTACAAATCCCTGAATGCAGGTACAGTTTTAGCTGCTCTTTATATCAATATTATTCTTGTATGGCTACATGTAGCTCCCTGAGCAGGCAAGATTTACCAAATCCTACCCTGTGATTGGCTATCCCAGCGGGCAAGATGGTGCTATGTTACCATGCTGGATTAAGTACTGTGTCCCACAAGAAAAATTTGTTTATCCCATAATTCCTATATTGATGAAGCTTGTTCGGGCAATATCGCTGAACACTGGCATTTTTATGGACCTTACATGTAACTCTTTTGGTCCAATTAAATAACTTGGCTAATATCCAGCCATCTTGACATCACCCTTTGTCAATTTCACTGTAGAATAACCAATGTGTACAGTAATTGGACTGAGTCAAGCACAATTTAGGGTGTAATTGTGTCAGTAATTTGAAATCTAATGAGACAGATTACTAATAATACCGTCAATAACAAAGTTCAATATTAAAAACGTCTTTAAAGGACTTTTATTGAGAAAAACAACTCAGTAGTGTTTTCCATAAGTTTTTAACACTGTAGGAAACATTAAGAAGAATTAAGCCAGTTAAGCATGAATGAGTGATATGTGAATGGCGATGGTGTCCAATTACAAAATTTAGTTGTGATTGGATACCTGCAATTGGGGAACCAAATGTTGAAATGAACAAAGAATTTTGTTGATCAATATAATTTCTGAATTTTGATTGGTCAATGACACATGCACATTCAGGGTGCAGAGTACTTGTACATGTACAAAACTTGTATATATAGTCACTGACAGACTTCAATTATAAATGTACAATGAATGTAAGTAATGTAGTTTTAATTATTACTAGAAGAGTACCCTCTTACATGTACATTGTTTGTTTCCACAGAATGCACACATCATCAAATAGAAAGGAGCCTGGATTTTCAACACAGGATAATATGATATCAACATGGAAACTGATTGGTTAAGGTACAGTACAAGTGATAATTATAACAACAGCTATTAAATCAGCCTTTCAAACTGTAACATGTTTTATCTTAAAAACAAAGTTAACCACAAAATAATAGCTTGCTTTAGTGTATACATCTATTTGGAAGGATGCCATTTAAGAGGTGAATAATTATTATGTTAAATACAAACACATAGGTTAATGCAAGGGATGGATGAGTTACTTTCTGAGTCAGACAGGCTGTCTACAGATGTTGGGACTGCATAAGCGTGGATAAAGATGGCCAGAGTGCAAGTGTCTGTTAGGGGCTTATTCATTAAGTTATTGTTCCTTGTACAATTAAAAATAGATTATTAAGTTAAAGAGATATTTATAAACATTAATACATGTACATGTATAATGTTAAAGTGCATGCACATCATATCGTACAGGATAAATACATTTGTGCATTTACAATCCTTCTTGATGTTCCACCAACATTAATAAACAATTTTACTACCCAAATCACTTCATTGCCAGAAGCATGAATGAGTTGACTGACATAGAGTTCTTTGATTTCAGCACAATATTGTATTTTCTCATAGAAATGAGGGTCCAGATGAAGGTTTAGGTATTGACACCATCCTGAGAATGGTCTCATCTTAAAGCCTGCAGGCAGCAGGTTCTGATTTTTGCCAGGTGAACAATGCCTGACCAGATTCAAATCAAGGTCTGCATTTTGCACTGTTCAATGCCTTAACACCATCATGCTGCTGGTGGGATGAGACAGTCTTAACACTAGTAGGTTAGTGCATTTACCAGCTTCATTATTGGTTCAAATGTTTGGTATATTGCTTTGTTTAAAATAGAAATAGGTTCTGACAGGCAAATCCTAGCTGCATGTCTTTCATATAAGCCTTATTTATCTCTCAAGCATACACATCCTGCATTGCTATAAGACAAGATTATTGGTAAAGCATCTGTAATGGGGGGAACCTTTTGGGTAGTGTTTGCTATCTGCATCCCTGTCCTGTTGTTCATCTTCACACTGCAGCCTCTTGTTTCATATTTGCAGTTTTTCCAGTGCTTATAAGGCTAGAGTGCTTTTCAAACCTTTCCTATTTTTAACCTGATAGAAAACAGAGAAGCAACAATAAATTATTCTACGTGCTGAGACTAAAACAGCATTAAACCTTTGTTAAAAATTCTTTTAACTGGTGTAAGGTAGACATTCTTGAGCAGCTTACATTATATTACTCGGCGGGGAATCTTCAGTCAACCACAAAGGTATTTACATGTACATCTCAAAAGCTACTTGTGTCCAGTACTCGATCTCCTGGTGAATTGTTTGCCTAGTAGTAAGCTACGAACAAATGAACAAAGTGTTCTTGTTGTTGTTGTATGTAAAATTTTATTGAAAAACTGACAGGAATGAAAAAATACTGGTTGCAATATACCAGAGAAAGATCAAACATATGTAAAAGT